CACGAGCACACGTTAGTTTTAAAGACCCCCATAGAGCTCAGTTTATAACTCGAACCCTGGATAAGAGAGTTAAAAGAGGGCGAGAGGGGAAGTCGGGCACGCTGCCAGCATGCAGGTCTAATATGAGAAACGAGTTCTGCAGCCGCAGCGACAGGCGAGGCACGATGGATCCAACGCTGCATCAGAGACACTTCATCACACCCCCCACAGACGCCTAACAGCACACGAGTTATGGTCACACACATATCGCTGCTGTAAATCATCAGCTCGCTACAAGAGGCTTATGTAACACAGCTTTCCTTTAACTACTCCGTACAGGATCACTGAGCTGTAAAGACGCACATCACCTCATTGTTGTGCCTTACAACCAAAGATAAATCACGGGGACAAATCACACGAGTTTCCCTGGTGTGCAGAGTCGTCTGTCTCACATGGATTGAGCTGTCAACACCTCTGCTCACATGATCACCTGTTAGGACGCTGTTAAGCAAGATACATGCAGCATTTGAACTCTTACTCTTACTTAATCTACACTGACTTTTAGATACACTACTTCAGCTGAGAAGACTTTTCTAAGTACTTGCAAAGTGCTTTGAGGCATAAAACAGGATGTTCTGTTAGTCCAGTGTAAATGTCAATCTTAAGGGATAAGGCTGGTACTATTTTGTTCTCTTAAGCAGCCTTTCTCTAGTGATGGCAGTTTCAGTGGAATATCTTAACATTAAGTGGATGGATTATTACAGTATATCGTACACTATGTGTTGTTTGGCAAACGACATTCATGTCCCTCTCAGGACTAAACGTAAAAACTTGGGTGATTTTATCTCGCTCCATAATCAGGTGAAAATTGCCCAACACTCTAGTTTATGACCCAAAAGCTGCATAACTAAAGACATTCCCATAAGCCTCAGCAACAGATCCTTGTACTATGGTTTGTATGTTGCCTTACGAAACGTTTTTGGGTTATTCTTTGTACATTTTGGTACAAGTGTCCAGTCACCAGAGCCCTGCAGTGCAGAACCAGTTGAGGCAACAGACCTACTTGGTTAGGTTGAGGATTAGATTGTGGGTTCGGTTCAAATCTCTAAAAAAGCTGCGTTACTTAAAGGTCCCGTGTCATGGCCATTTCCACTGATCATAATTCCATTGTTGAGGTCGACTAGAATACATTTAAATTGTGCAATTGTCCAAACTCACATTGGTTTCTCACAGCATCTCTGTCTAGTATGTGTATTCACTCTCTGTCCTAAACGGCTCGTTGGAGCTCCTGCCCCCCCCCCCCTCCCTGTGAGCCCAGTGGCCGTCAGTGAGACAGCGAGACACAGCGAAACCCAGCCCGAAAACACACACACACCCGCAGCCTGGCTGGGAGTTTGTGTGTGTGCCCAGGCTGAGTTCCGCGGTGTCTCGCCGACCCCACACCAGTGAGCCAGCTCAGTGTCCCGCTCCTCGCAGCAGCGAGCCTCGCAACGTCCCGCCGAGTGTGTGTGTGTGAGGAAGTCCGTGGATTGGTCCAAACGTAACGGCTCCGCGGACGTAACGTCACGATACCCAAGAAGTAAACAATGGAAAAAGAGAAATGTCCAACGAGGCATTCTGGGGCAGCACAGACAGGTCTTCTCTGTGTTAGAGTTTTACTCGCTACAGGGTGTACTTTGAGGGTTTGTGACTCTGCAGACCGTTCACATGCAGAACAAGCTACATAACACCCTTTAAGTACGAAAGTTACACAACAAATAAGTCAATGTTGACTTTTGGTTTGACACGGGAAGTCCTGTATTTTTGGACACACCCGTTCCAACAACCTTCTTCCTGACATACTGTATTATATTTTTTACACTACATCACTTGTCCTGGCTCACAATTACGTGGGTTATTTTTGTATTATAGTGCATTAGTTCATATAGGTACAGAGTATGAGAACAGTCTGGTCTCAGTTGTTTGTGTTTAATGCTGATCAGCAAATGCTTTTATGCTAACACGAGAATTATTCACAAGACATCATGAAAGCTATTTAAATGGAGGAAATGTCTACTCGTACTCATTATACTGTCACCTATTTAAACATCGGTAACTACATGTTGGAGATGTTAGCTGTATGTTTGCTTTCTTCTTCTTTTCAACCTATTTTCCTTTGATGTACAATGTCGGTTCCCCGCGGGGATCATTAATGTTTCATGTAATCTAATCGAACCCCTGCTGTCGCCACAGAGCCGGAGAGAAGCGGGAAAATCCTTTTGGAAGTGAAGCAGACGGCCATAAGCTCATGATGGGTCGTAAAAAATTAACTGAAGGTATGAAGGAGCATGGGAATGTGACTTTGCCAGTTTAACGGGTAGTAAAATAGCTGATTATTAACTTTAAACGCACAATGTGTAATTTTCAGTCGCTGGGGGAAATTGGTATTTCAACATGTATATTTTCGACTTTTTGAATGCTGTTTTATTTCGATTTTGAGATGTTTACATTTTAGAATTGTTTATTTTTACTCATTTGAATTTCTCTTATGTGCAATGCCTTGACTTTTATGCTTCTGCAATGCAAACATTTCTCAAATTGGTATCAATAAAGTACATCTTATCTTATATTATTATGCTTCAGGCAGTCAAAAGACAATTAAGTATATTTTAGTAATACAATTAAACCACTGTAAACATTGTAATATACATATTTTGTGCATTACTTAACTTTTTCCTTTTAAATCTATTTTATGATTTGACTTTTTACTCACATGCACATTCTTACTTTTACTTCTTGTGTTTATATATGCATTTTTTGTTTTCCATCCTCTTAAAATGGCCTTGTGTGGAAATGTACATGAACTCACCTTGCCGTACATATTGTACCTTCAAGGCCTTTTTCTGCATACATGCTGAACGTCTCTGAACACAAAGGGTTAACAGCCTCTTCACTGTTCCTGTGAGAACATCTGTCTGTGATGTCCTGCAGTGTAACAACCTGCTAATTCACCTGTAAATGGGTTTTATGGCTCGTTTTGTCCTCCGTGTCTTTTATAAAATCTCTTTTGTCCACATTCCAAGCTCTTTGTGCGGGAGGGGAAGCGTTGGTGAGCAGAACGTGAGAAATCATGTTCATGGAAGTGTCTGCAGAGAAGAGGAAGAGGAGACGGGGGGGAGGTGTTGAGAAGAAAGAGAGCGGGAAGTGAAAAAGAAAGAAAGGAGAGGAAATCTATGAATGCATCATGTTTTTACTCTCAAATACAGTCAAGAAAGTTAACAAATTACATTACTCAAGCATTTTCCTTAAAGAGGCCCTATGATACTCATTTGCAGGTTCATATTTGTATTTACTGGGACATGTCTCCATGCTTTAATGTTCAAAAAGCTCTTCATTTTTCTCTTTTCACCCTCTGTCTGAAACCAGAGCCCAGTCTGCTCTGATTGGTTAGCTGGCCGGCTCTGTTGGGATTGGTCAACCACTTAGAGATGTCCCGCCCCTTAGCCTATCACGTACAGTGTGTTGGAGAGCTAGCCTGTAGGAGCACAAAAAACCTATATAACACACTACAGGAAATGGAAACCCCCCCCAAAAGCATAATAGGGTGTGTGTGTGTGGAAGTAAAGGATACTGTCCACACACACACACACACACACACACACACACACACAGATAAAGCATCATATACTACTTTCTTCCGAACATCACATGGGAACAGAAACAGCGTTCGTCTGTCTCTGTCATTTCGTCCATTGGTCTCTTTATGGTCAAAAATTCACATATTGCACACACACACATACACACAACTTCCTCCTGCTTCCAGTCTAAGTGTAATGTATTGTTTTGGCACTGTGTGTGTGTGTGTGTGTGTGTGTGTGTGTGTGTGTGTGTGTGTGTGTGTGTGTGTGTGTGTGTGTGTGTGGCCTAGCATTACTATACTTGTGGGGACCTAAATCTGTTTACATAGTCACGTGTGGGGACTCATCTCCCTTATGGGGACAAATTGCCCTCCCCATGAGGGCAATCATTAATTTTAGGGTGAAGACTTGGTTAGGTTTAGGGTTAGGGTAAGGGTTAGGCATGTGTTGGTTATGGTTAAGGTTAGGATAAGTCTCCAGGAAATGCATGAAAGTCAATGTAATGTCCCCTGAAGTAATGTATACATGGTATGTGTGTGTGTGTGTGTGTGTGTGTGTGTGTGTGTGTGTGTGTGTGTGTGTGTGTGTGTGTGTGTGTGTGTGTGTGTGTGTGTGTGTGTGTGTGTGTGTGCTAATGCCTCCAGCCAGGCAGCACTGAGACAACAGTGAGGGTGCAGATAAAGCCGGCTTTGTGTCCAACTCAGGATCTCGGGCACAGAGTGGCTGGAATGGCACACAGCCATTGTTACAGGTTCACTGCGGTCATGCACACACACACACACCCACACACCCACACACCCACTGGCTGAACTACAGATCTACCAGGTGCTATTGCGACACTGTTTAACATCAGTGAATCATTGGCGTATTATTTCGAAAAATGGAAAAAATTACTGTAAACAAACAAGAGCAGGAAACCCATTGACTGGCGGCTTTAATGTAAAAGTATTTCCAGTTATAATAATGCTTAAAGCTACATTACAATTGTGTCCACCTGAGTGCAGATAACACTGCAAGTTGTAAACACAGCACTGACATCTTATCACCTTCAGAAGCTGATATGGGAGATGTGTTAACAACCTGTTGCCTAATTACACATTCAGCAGATATAAGTGATTGTGAGTCTTAGCAACAGAAGCGCCGTTAAAGCCATGAAGTGTTTGAATACTAACAAAACAACTTCTTCTATTTTTTATAATGCCAAGGTTTTCAAATCAAATCCAACTTTCTCTAACATATTTAACAACACTTTATTTTCTTCAGAAGAGTAGTGAAAGCTCAACTCAGGCTGATTTTAGTGTGTTATTTCCTCTAGCAATATTATTTTTGGACAGAAAGCTACTGGGTTATGTGAGATTTAAAAGCTCAAATATAAAGTACAAACAGTACATAAACCCTGCTATAAATAACTGGATTTAAATCCTCAAACCACAGAGTTATCTGTTCATGAAGTCAAGCATCATGGTAGTTATGGCCATGACAGAAGGCTTCATTCGCGGCTAGCTTTAACAGTTTACAGGCGACCCAAGAACAGAGTCCGAGGCTGATGATTCAACATTATTGAGAAACACACATTCATTTCCCAACTCATTTTTACCAGCTTTTACAATTGTCTTTATCTCTGTAGTCTTGCAGTTGTAGGAGGACAACATCTCTTTAAACATCAGCTAATTAAATTAAATTAACAATGTTTTTCCACAATATGAAACCCTCTTACCATTCACTCTTTACTCCACACTCTGTCACTATATGCCACCATTATTTCCTTCCTTACTTCACTTTTTCACACTGACTCATATTCTTACATTCTCCACATAATGCCTACCAGAAGCTGTGTGTGTGTGTGTGTGTGTGTGTGTGTGTGTGTGTGTGTGTGTGTGTGTGTGTGTGTGTGTGTGTGTGTGTGTGTGTGTGTGTGTGTGTGTGTGTGTGTGTGTGTGTGTGTGTGTGTGTGTACATGTTTCACCTTTCTCCCACCTCCTGCTGCTAGCTGCAGGTTGTCTGGTGCAGAGCCTTCACCTGTGGAGAGAACAGAGGAAGGTGAGGTGCTTGGTTACAAACAAACCCAAAGTCACTGTGTCGTTATGCTCTCTGCAGAATCACACACACACACACACACACACACACACACACACACACACACACACACACACACACACACACACACACACACACACACTGCCCTCTGTCCGCCTGCATACCTCACCAGCACCTGGTCTGTTTCTACAGTGGACGCTATAGTGTATGCTGATCTAATGCATAGAAACAATGTTTTTTAACGGATGATTTGATAAATAGCTAGCTAGCAACAGGACCATACATTGAAACTCTCTTGGCTTCTACAGTAGATTAACATGACATTTACTAGCCCTTTTAATTAGCTAGCTTCTGCTCTATAGCCTTGGATAAACCTTCTCATTTCTCTTTTATCCGTTTCTAAAGAGCTAAAGCATGCTACTTGGGGGTTTGTCAGTATCTACTTCTCTATATGAAAGCCAAATATAAACCTATTGTCATTTTCTAACAAAAACAAAACCACATTTCTGCTGTTAGCATTCACCAACACACTTTAGCTCCTTAGCCACACAGACCTGTTTTCAAACAACACCCACCAAGCTTCCTTGATGCTTCACTTAAGCCTTACAATCTGAAAATATGAATGTGGCTAAAGAAAATGTTGTAGTATTGAAGTATTTCTCAAAGTGGACATTTTACTTACTTGTTTGCAGTCTTTTTCTTCTTTGATTTTGTTAGCAACATGCTAGGTTAGCTTACACATTTCGGCACGGACTGAAAACTCATCTCTTTCGACTCCACTTCGAGCGATACAATTACTAACAAAGCACTTATATACTAATAAAGGACTGGCTTATCTAAAGCCAGTTGAGTAGCACTTGAAATATTTTGGCTCTATGAAACCTGATGTACTTATATGATTCTGTTTTCTTCAAGTTTGTATCTTCTTGGTCAAATGAAGTAAGTCGCTTTGGATAAAAGCGTCAGCTAAATGAAATGTAATGTTCCTTGCTTCATTGCTGCCACCAGTGGTCAATCTCTGGGATAGTGTGAATAGCACAACAAAAAGTACCCACTAATATGTGTATATGTTTTGCTCCAAAGTGCTCTAAGTGATCAAAAACTCTAGTCTACAGGGCAGTGGCGGTTCTAGACCAATGTGACTGGGGGGGCCAGGCTGGGGCCAGCTATTTTCTGAGGGGGGCACAATAAATGCAGGACGAAAAAGACAAAGACAGTATGAAGTAATTGTGCATAAGAAAGCAAAGCAATACAGTTATTGGTATTTGTTTCATTACACATATTTATTTCAGATACTTATAGTTACAGTTTTTACGCTCTAATGCAGGGGTCTCCAACCTTTTTTAAGATGAGAGCTACTTTCAAAATATAAAACAAGTCGTGAGCTACTTTTACTCCTCTTTTGTTGTTTTTTTGCAGTATATATATTTAGCACATTTTAACATTATTATATGCTGACCTTTAACCTTTGTGTTCTGTTTGGGTCTGTGGGACCCGTTTTCAGTGCTTACTAAAATAAAATGTATGCAATTTAATTATTTGAACCTGCTTTATTTGGGGGTGGATCTCACATTCTCTAGGGGGGTCTGGGGGAGGATTATTATTTTTTTTAAATGTTGAAGTGAAATGCATTAATCTGGTGCACTTTGAGCACAAAATGAATGTATGGATACAGCTCTCAACACTCAGATGAAAGGGAGCTGTATACTTTTCAATAATCCAAAAATCTTTGGAATATGATCACAACCAATAACAAATCATTTACACTTGTTTATTCTTACCTTATGTTACCTAGTTAGCATTCTTTCTTTTTATTTATGCATATTTGACTAATCACTCCCCTTTTAAATTGTTTTTAATTTTTGTTACTGTCTTATAGTTATACCATGGAATGATTTCTTACTTTATTTTTTACAACTATATGAAATAGATAAAGGTGTGCTCTCTCTAATGGGTCCGACTAGAATTAGAAATATCGTCAGTTCCACCTATTCCGTCAGCCATATTATGAATAGTTTAATAATAAACCTTTTTTTTTCATTTTCAGGGGGACCACAGGGGGGTCCAAAGGCAGTGTTAGGGGGCATTGCCCCCCCCCTGCCCCCCCCCCCTAGAACCGCCCTTGCTACAGGGTGCCTTTAAGTAGAATTGAAGTAAGATATAGTTGTGCTGTAGTGCACTTAAACTGATTTCAGATTTAGAAATACGTTAATTATCAAAGGGGGAATTAGGTTTGTGAACGGTTCTCCAGTTCAGAATAACACCAGAAATACAAAGATAAAATACAAATAAAAAGATCTGTTGGCATTAAAGATACATATTTAAGGAGGTCAATTAAAGACTGGATCATTTCTGAAAAGTAGTCCTATTTGTAAACAGAAAATACAATTAACATATAGATTAAGGTCAAACTAAATCACCAGTGGTAATTCCCACAGCAGCTGGCTAATAAATCGCTGTTTACACAGGCTGTGTTGTGTCCACAGCATGCAATGACCCAGAACAAAATATGGACCTCTTTAGCGTTAAGGTTAGATACTATAAACTCCACAGCAGTACAACAACATCTGACTCATGTTAACGATGCATTTCCTCATCCTCTTTTAATAAGTGGGTGCTGTCATGTAATCTGATGATTTAAGATGCTGGAGGATGAATCTTTCATGTGGTGTCTGGTGGCTCCTTCATGGCAAAGTGATGACTTCAGAATATGAGTTATGTGTGTCATCAGCAGTTTGTTGGGAGTAAATAGAAACAGTGGGTACTTAGCATTAGCTATTTTCAGTAACAAACTGTAATAGATTTTCAATTTACAGCACTCTTTGCAGTGAGGTTGTGATAAAAAGGGAAATAAGTTAGTGGTTGCCTTGAGACAGGCCTTGATACAAGAACTATACTTTATCGATATTGTGATATTAGGCTAGATCGTGCTAGATTTTTGATATCGCAAAATGGCGTTATTGTTGCCATATTCTCTTTTATAATAGTATTATTTGTTGTCCTTTTTTATAACTGAACTCCACTTGCTGCGTTTATGTATGCCTTATTTAAAGCTAAGTCCTTTATCTGTAAATCTACTTGGCCAAAAACCAGATTCAGATTTTCTCCATATCCACGCCCCAGTTTGAGACCCTGTGTGCCATCACGCTGTGCCTCTCTGGTACCAACCCTGATTTATATTCCTGTTCCCACATACTCCGAAGCACCACAGATCCCGATGCCAACCCAACCTCGCTGACACACTCTCACAGCTCAGATTGGCACAGCGATACACGCACGCACGCGCACGCGCACACACACACACACACACAAAATCAGCAGAGACTGTTTTATTTCCTGTGGAAGCAGCCAGGAGGTGGGCTGAGGACACGGAGAACTCTGTGACCCTTTCGCTATAATGACCATTACACCACTGGCATTTGTGGTGTGTGTGTGTGTGTGTGTGCATGCGTGTGTTTATTTGTGTGTGGACAGCTCTGGTTAGTTTGTGTTTACATCTGGAGAGGAGTGGCTTTAGGGAGGCGAACATACAGGTGGTCTCTTTCAGAAGACTTTCTCCATTTTGGATTTGGCACGTCTTCCTTTTAAAACTTCAGACAGACTTCTTAGTTGTCAGAAAGAAAGAGAGAGAGATGTAATATTAATATAAATACTAAAGGGGTTCTTTCATGCAATGGTTCATATTTGTATTTCGTGCTTTTACTGTATCCTACACAACAACCTATATAACACACTACAGGAAAGGTAAAACCCATAAACCATAAAAGGGCCATTTGAACTGAATTGATTCAATAAAAATGTAATTTAATTAAAATGGTAAGCCACTGGGAAAATAATGCCTGCCACAACATGAGGGAAGTATTATGTATATATATATAGTATGAGCTATATGCTGGACAAATAGCAATAATTTTGTCTTGATGTTGAAGGCCACCAACCATGAATGTATTTATTTATTTTGGTATACATACACAACTGTATAGAGTAGTCTGTTATATTTGTCATTATGGTCATGACAATAAAGCTTGTTTGAATTTGAATTGGAGATAGACAGACTGAGAGAGAGTGAGGTTTGTAGGACACTAGTGTGTAGCCCGGCTGGCTGAGAGGCAGCCAAGCGTGAGATTATGACGCATCCATTTACACACACACACACACACACACACACACACACACACACACACACACACACACACACACACACACACACACACACACACACACACACACACACACACACACACACACACACACACACACACACACACACACACACACACGTAAACCAATACCGCTTAGGTTGACATACAATATTTATTTAGGTTCACAAAAATGATAAGTTAATTATCAGGTAGTCCACAAATATTGTGGGAATGGTCTCATACAAGTGGGGGGAAACATACATGAGAAACAATTTAGGAACAAGCCCACCCAGAAACGCTCTCTGATTTAACCAAATAAAGTATGAAGCATGGAAAAGGTTGAACTCAAACATTATTCTAAATAATAAAAAAAAAATAAGTTGCTTATTTATTCAGTATTATATCCATAATTTTGAGAAAAAAGGACCCTCATCTATTCAAAATATCTCTTACTCTTGTATCAAATGGAAAAATAATGCAGGAGAAACTAAAACGGGGCAGACCCTGTTTTTTTAAATATTGCCGTATACCAGGGTCCTCCCTGAATCACCCCTCCGCGGTATGAATGGACCAGGGACCGGTCAAATGTGAGATGTTGGAAACCCCCCTCTGTAGTACAGCATCTGAGGGTAAATATATATACTGTATATCTGAAGGAGTCTGTAGTGACCCCAAATATTTGGTGGTGGGCCCCCCGAAGCTGCCCCACTCCTGTTTTCCTTTGTTTGTCATTTCTAACAAGACCCTTTTCCAATTTCACCTCAAAGTGACTCTTTGTAGAGAAACGCTCATCTATTGCATCTCCGATAGCGCTGGGAATGAGATCCACCACCGCCCCCCCTCTTTAACTCCGCCCCCCCTCCCATAAAGATGACTCGACCTCATGTACACGTTATGAACACATCATGCAAAGTGGCAATTCTGTTTTACAAAGATGGAGCAGTTTCTTTTTTACTCTTTAAAAGAAATCTGTAGCCGTTTTTAGCTGCGTTTGATTCACTCTTTAAAAAAGAAAATCAACCAGAAAGTCCCACCCCATTTATTGAAAAGCCACCTCCCTTACCCCTTGAACAAAAACAGAACATTTTATAAACGATATTATATTAAACCATAATTTTCTCACTTTTATTTTTCTTGTAATAACCCAACTCTTCTGGAAAAACGATACAGCGGAGAAGTGTGTCCGGAAAAAAGCCATCGCTGCGAGGATCAGTTAGCATAAAGCTGCTGCCTTTAAGAAACAAAGACCTTTAAAAACATCCTGCGGCGGCAACGCTTGGTTTAAGAATCCCTGATTGGCTGAAAGAAGTCAGGTGACCAGCAGGTGAGGTAAGAAAAGCCCCACCTTTGACGATGGGGATGACAGTATGGAGGTGTTTCCTCCAAACTCTAAATGTGTGTGTGTGTGAATATATATATGTGTGTGTATACATTTTTTGATTACAAACCCGCTCACATGCGTACACACTCAAGTGCGTGTTGATGTTTGAGTCAATCTCAAAACACGTCTCAAAGCAAGTCCCTCTCTCCGCATGCAGCACAGAAACACAGAAACACCAGCGGCACAAAACACAAAGAAACACTGGCTGAAAATAAGATGAAAACTAAACAGAAGATGATGCTGCTGCCTCGAATGTCCTCGAACATCACATAGAATCCTTGGGCGTGACGATTTCTTACTTTTTTTTTTAAGTTCAATAATATCTTATCTATGCATTTACTTAGGAAAACTAACAAAGACCTCTCTCTTATTACTGTGTGTGTGCGTTTCATTTTTCAATTTTTTTGTATTGACATTTGCATTGGTTCCTCCCCTTCTTAAAATGTCCACGTTGAGTTTTCTTGGTTTTTGCGTAGTTTCCGTCTCACTCCTGGGACAAAGACCAAAACCCATTTCTACCCACTATCCTCTCCCTCCCTCTTTACCCCCCGCCCTCCTCCCTGTTTCCCTCCCCAGGAAAAGGGGAGTTGTTTCAGTCCCGTGCTGCCCTTCATCTCTCGGCCTCCATGGCTACGCTAACT